ACCCAGCGTCCTAGGGCTCAGGGCAGGGGTGGCCCCATGCACCCAGCATCCTAGGGCTCAGGGCAGAGATGGTCCCATGCACCCAGCGTCCTAGGGCTGCCATAGCAGGACCAGAGACTGAGCCTCAATGACAGACATTTATTCTCTCCCAGTTCTGGAAGCCCGAGGTCTGCAGCAAGGCTTCTGCGGGCTGGCTTCTCCCGGGGCTCTCTTCTTCCCAGGTCTTCACAGGGTCTTCCCTCTTCGTGTCTGTGTGCATATTTCCTCTTCATACAGGTTAGGCTCCACCCTAGTGACTTACCTTCAACTTATTACCTCTTTAAAGGTAATAAGCATTTTTATAAGGAATTTTCCAAATAAGGTCACATTCTCAGGTTGGGACTTCAACATATAAAACTTTTTTTTTTTTTTTTTTTTTTTTTGAGACAGAATCTCTCTGTCATCCAGGCTGGAGTGCAGTGGTGTGATCTTGGCTCACTGCAACCTCCACCTCCTGGGTTCAAGCCATTCTCCTGCCTCAGCCTCCCAAGTAGCTGGGACTCTACAGGCACCCATGACCATGTCCGGCTAATTTTTTTTTTTTTTTTTTTAAAATTTAGTCACTCTGTCCCCCGGGCTGGAGTGCAGTGGCACGATCTCAGCTCACTGCAACCTCCGCCTCCCAGGTTCAAGCCATTCTCCTGCCTCGGCCTCCCAAGTAGCTGGGACTACAGGCGCCCGCCACTAATCCCAGCTAGTTTTTGTATGTTTAGTAGAGACATGCTTCACCATGTTGGTCAGGCTGGTCTCAAACTCCCGACCTTGGGTGATCCACCTGCCTCAGCCTCCCAAAGTGCTGGGATTACAGGGGCAAGCCACGGTGCCCAGCCTGACATATGAATTTTGTGGGGGAAAAACAGCCCGTAACAGACTGGAAGGTGCCTGAGATGCTGCGGCAGCATCTGCAGAGGGGTCAAATTAGACTCAAAGATGCCAGCACCTCCTCCAGGAAGCCTGCCAATTAACCACTTGAGTCACTACCCCCTGAGCCCTGGGTTCTCTCTGTGAAGTGGGGTGCTAAGAGTCCCAGTTCAAGCCCGAGAGATGCCCAGCAGCCCACAGGCCCTTCCTCCCAGCCCAGTCCCACCTGCTGGCTTGAGTCTCACCCCACCTGTCTCCAAAAGGCAGAGATGAGGGGTGACAGGGAATAAGCGTAACTGAACAGAGACAGCCGGGCCAAGGTGGAGGGCTTCCTGGGGCTCAGTGACCTGCTCACCGCCACACAGCTGGCCAGAGAGGTCAGGACTGCGCCTGAGGCCTCTGGCTCTGTGCACTGGGTCTTCCCATGGAGCCAGGCCCTGGTGGACTGAAGACTTCCCGGTCTGATTCTCCCACCCCCCAACTCACAGGGCATGTCAGGGTCCCAGGACCTCCAATTACTGGTCACTTCATTCAATACATAGGTGCCTGAAAATCTCGTGAGGCCAGGGCCTGGGGGCTGCTCTTGGACATCCCCTCAACCTCCATCTGCACCCCATGGCCACCTGAGCCTGTGCCCACTTTTCAGCTAAGGTTGCAATGTTTCTTTCATTCTATGTCCATGTTTTTCCCCAAATTTCTCAGTAAAATCCCTTTGGAAAAGTCCCAGCCTTGTCTCAGAGAAGCCTGGGACACAGGGTTGATCCAGGGTCAGGAGAAGGCAGGGCAGGGGCCATTAGGAGCGGGAGACCTAGCCAGGGACACCGAGCAGAGGTCAAGCCCAGCTCCCCACGATCTTGGAGGGGCGCTTCGATCTCTGAGCCTCAGTTTACTCCCCCAGAATATGGGATTGTTGTCGGGATCAAGTGGGTTTGCCTTGGCTGAGGACCAGGCTCCCAGGTAGGGAAGGCCAGGGAGCAAGCCCCCCACCACCAGAAGCCTGCATGACCTGGGGGTCGCTGGGAGGCCAGGCTGTCCCACCGGGGATGCACAGGCCAGAGGCGGCGGCTTCCACCCTCACTGCTGCTGGGCCCAGGGCGAAGCTCAGCGTGAGAGCCAGAGCCCCGGGCTCCCTCCCCGCCCTGACGAGGCTGCCGGCCGCGCACAGCAGGCCACTCTGCCCCAATCCCGTATTGCAGGGTTGAGGTGGGAGCCGGGCGGTGGTCCCAGCCGACGTCCCGGGGAGCCGCAGGGTGACTCCCGCGAGCGGCCGCAGGTCGCCGCGTGCTGGGGGGCGGGCACGTCTCCGCCCACGGGCTCTGGGCGTGGCTGGGCGGTCCGGGCACCTGCTGGCGAGGGAGGGCGGCGGAGTGGAGAAGCGCCCCGCGGTCGCCCCTCCCCATCCCCGGCTCCAGGGTACGCAGGGTCCTGGGACCTGCAGTGGGGTCGCCTCCGCCCGAAGGCAGCCCTGCTGGACCGGGAGTGGTGGACTCCGCCCGGGCTCGGCATCTCCGCGGTGTGGGTCCGGAGCACCCGCGTTGAGACCCGTGTCATAATTCGCGCCCAGGAGCGGAGTGGTGGGAATCAAATCTCAGTAAATGGCCTCGTCGCCCACCCACGTGCCGGCCTCCTGCACCCCACACCCCGCGTGTCCGCAACGCTTCCTGCGAAATGTCTGTTCCCATTCACAAAACTACCCCATGTCCCCGATCCTGGTCAAGCCTCTCCAGGACCGGCGGGAAGCGCTGGAGGAGGACGGAGAGGACCTCGAAGGCCTGCCCCACCCCTCGCCTGAGCTATAGTCCAGGGCAGGGCCCACGGTGTCCTGAGGTTTCAAACTAAGCAGGCTGCCAGGCGAGCTTCCACACCTGTCTCCCACCTCTCCGGCATTGCGGGGCACGGCTATTTTTAGAAGGAAGGCGGTGGGAGAAAGTGCATCTTTGTCCTGGAGGCTGGCAAGGCAGCAGGAAAGCACAAAGAGGCAGTGCCTCCTGCCTCTCTCGCTCACCGGTCACGGGTCTCCAGTCCCTGGCACGCCTGCCTGGACCTTCGACTTGGCGAAGTTGACATTTATGGTGTCCCACTGCCCGGCCCTAAGCTTCCTCGCCCTGGCTCAGGCTGGCCAAGGCCAGGGGACCAGGTTGGGGGACACACCCTGGGAGTGGGCCCTGGGCCACGCTCAAGGCTCTGCCCCCTCATGCCAGCTGCAACCAGGCAGCAGGGCTCCCCTTCTGCAGTAGAACAGAGTCCAGAGATAATGTCGATGGACCCCCACATAGTACAGGAAGAGATGCCTGCTTACCCAGCCTCCCACATGGGATCTGTGGCAGCCTGCTGGCTTCCTAACCCCAAGGATTCCTCTGGCAGCCTCTCACCTCGGGCACCTTGCTTTGCACCTCAGTTCCTACACATGTAAAATGGGACCTTCACAAGGATTTAACGAGATCCAACCTGGAATGGGGCAGCCCATGCCAGGCACCATCGCTGTGCCCTCCTGCACCCAGGGGAAGCAGGTAGCAGGGCCTTCAGGGTCCCACCCTGGCCCCAAGGCAGCCCCATGGAGGGTTGGGAGGCCACCTGGAGGAGGCTGCTTCTGCCTTGGGCAGCCTTGGCCAAAGCAGAGAGAGGGTCCCTGGGCAGAGGCACCAGCCACAGCACCAGCTCAGCCTTGCCCAGCCTGCTCCAGTGCCACACCTGAGTGGTCACACACTAGGTGCTCTGAACTGGCCAGCCTGGGCTGGGAGCTGAGGCCCTCACCTAGAAGGCCACAGGCAGAACCCAAACTGTTCTCAGGCCCCTGCATCCCCACCACGTGCCCGCTGGCCATCAGGAAGTGCCTTTATTTCTACGTCAAACCACGGAACAAAGCAGGGTGTGATCCAGATCTGGACCACAGGCAGAAGAGGGCAGGGCTGCAGTCCTGGCAGACCCGGTGAGACAGGAAGCAGCCTCTGGGCTCTGCCTGCGGGATGTCGGGGCAGGCCCGACCCTCCTGTGCACCATCCCAGCCACCCTGCGGCAGAGGCCCTCAGCAGTCAGACGGCAGACCCTGGCCACGTCCTTGTCCTATCCCCGGGCCGGGGCTGCCTGGTCCTCGGAGCAGACACACTCGCTGCCAGCATCATCTGCAGGTCTCCTGGTTCTCCGAGGGGACTCGGGGGGTGGGCTGCAGAAACATAAAGGAGGCCGTGTTGGTCAGGGGACTGCAGCCCAAGAGGATCCCAGCAGTCCGAGATGAACCTTTGGCAGGCAGCTGGGCTGGGGCAGGCCAAGAGGTCCCCTTGGGTGATGAGAAGGGGAGGAGGCAGAATGGGGCTGGGCTCTGCCAGCAGGAGCAGCTCCCAAATCCACCAGAGGAGGGGGTGGCAGAGGGAAGGAAGGCCTGGAGCAGACTCAAGGGCATCCCCAGAGCCCAAGTCCCAGGACTGACCCAAGGGATGGTCTCTGATGCTGTCCTGGAACCTGGGCAGAAACTGACAAGAGGTTGAGGGGGGCTTTGGGCAGAGGGGGGGTTATGGGTCCAGACGGACCCCTTCTGAAGGGGGTTTCCTGGCAGTACGGGCTGTGGTCTGGGGATGGGGAGAGGGCAGGCAGGGTGCTAAGCAGCTCCAGCGAAGGCTGAATTCACTTCCTCCTCAGGGAACAGACTCCCAGGGGTCTCCAGGGGATAAGACGTCCCAGGGCACAGCTCACGACCCTCGCCCAGCCCGAAGTGGCCCTCAGAGCCGTCCACAAGGCCCCCACAGCCCAGCCTGCTGCCTCTCCTGTGCCTTGGACCTGGCCCTGGCTGCACCCTCCTACCCACATGGTCTTCCTCTCAGAAGCTTTAGCCTTTATTTATTTATTTATTTTGAGACTGAGTTTCGCTCTATCACCCAGGTGGTGTTGCAATCTCAGCTCGCTGCAACCTCCACCTCCAGGGTTCCTGTGATTCTCCTGCCTCAGCCTCCTGAGTAACTGGGATTACAGGTGCCTGCCACCACGCCTGGCTAATTTTTGTTTTAGTAGAGATGGGGTTTCACCATGTTGGCAAGGCTGGTCTTGAACTCCTGACCTCAAATGATCTGCCCACCTCGGCCTCCCAAAGTGCTGGGATTACAGGCATGAGCCACCGCACCCAGCCTGCTTCAGCCTTTAAACAAGGCACCTGCAGCCAGACGGAGCCTGCCAATAACAGGCCAGCCCATCCCCCCAGGATGTGCACCTGCACCTCACAGCCTCCCAGGCCCTAGTGAGCAAGGTGCACTTGCTTCAAAGGTGATGACAGTGGGGGAGGACTGGGTGATGAGGGGTGAGAATGTGTCGTCACTCATTCAGCAAGTACGCGCTGTGCACCTCCCATGCCCAGGCCTGGGGCTGAGAGTGGCTGAGGGACCTCACTTGCAGATGGGAGGGGGGACGGTGCTAGGGAGGGGGTCAAGGCCAGGCAGCACCTAGGGCCCCAGGCAGAGGTTCCAAGGGCCGGTGGAGGACGGGATGTGAACAGGCAGGAGGCGGGAAGTGGAGCCGCAGGAACCACGCCCCACTTCTGACCTTGGCAGTGGCCCCCTCCTCTTCTCAGCACCCCCTCAGGCGCCCTCACTCACCAGCAGCAGCCCCGCTCTGAGAGGGGCCCCTCTGGGCATGCTCCGGGGGCCAGCGCCACTCGCTGCTCTCCACAGGGTCCACCTCGCTGGGCTCCACCACAATTGAGGGCAGATGCTGGCCCAGCCGAGGGCCCTTCTCCTGGGCACTTGCCACAGCCTACAGGGAGGGTGAGCAGGATCACGGCCATGCCAGGCCTGGCACTCCTGCTGTCTCCCACCCCCATCCTGCACACTGCCCCACGAGGGGGGTCAGGGACCCTTCCCACCCAGTCTCCAGGGCAGGGGTAGGCACATGTGTGTTTGCACAGGCACATCCCTGAGACGGCTCCCAGCCCCGACCCAGTCCCAACCTGGGGGGTAGGGTGCTCAGCCCCTGCGGTCACAGCTCTCAGAAGGCACCAGAGGACGCAGCTGTGCTCAGCCCCGGAGCCCATTGCATAGCCAGAGCCTGAGGCCGGAGACACCAAGGTCACCAGGAACCAGCGCAGGCTTCTGCACACCGCCAGCTGCCTCCTGCACCTGGACTCCTCCCAGCCCCTTCCTGGGGTCTTCCCTGCTGGGCCGTGGCCTCCTCCAGGCTTACAGGAGCTGGGAAGCAGTTGGCATGGCAACCCGAGCGGCTGGCTCTGGGCTTGCTCTTGGCTCATTGTTGAGTGCCCACAGGAGTGTGTGGGGGCTGTGTCCCCAGGCCCTCCCGGTGCCCGCAGCATCTCCGCCCCCCAGTCAGGGCCTTTGAGGCTGCAGTGCTACATGCAGAACTCCGTCCCTCAGCACCCAGAGGCCCCGACTTGCCTCGCTGTCCTACCTCCACGCCTGCACTCAGGCAGATGGCCCTGCCTGGAGCTCCCTGTCTCCCATCTCTTCACCTAGAAGGAAAGCTGCTGGGTCCACCTTCCCAAAAGAGCATGAGGGTCACGAGGAAGGGCAGCCAGGCCACGGGCAGGACTTGGCTGAATGGTATGAATAGTGCACGGTCCTGGGCTCCAGCCCAGAGTGTCTTAGAACCAAGGACCACAGGTGACCCTCACGTGTGAGAACAGATGTCACTGGGACATCTGTGGAATGAAGGAGCTGTCAGAGGACCCCCATCCCTACGCCACAGGCTGGACCCTCCCAGGGGCCACCCCTCATGCTGGCATTGCCAGCCCAGGGGCTCATTCCCCAGCCGGTCTCACTCCCCATGTGCCATTCTCCTTCCTGCCCCACCAAGTGCACTGGTCTCCAAGTCTGCCCACTGGGGTGAGCGAGGCCCAGGCCAGCAGAACTTGCCGCTCCGAGGCCTGGTGCTCACCACTGTCCGCCTGCCTGGGAGGCTGTGCCTGCAACCCCAAGTTCCAGACTGGTCCCTGTGTGACTCCAAGCTGGTCCCCCTCTCTGGCCCCACTGCTCCCCAACAAGGAGAATGGCTGGGCTGTAGAACTCAGAGCACCGAGGCTGCCACCCTGTGTAGGGAGCTTGTTATTTTAGCTTCATCAACACCCCCAGGGAAAGGTGGCGCTAGAGGCAGGGGACCCTGGCATTTGCTCACTCAGCAGAGAGCAATCCCTGGGGTCCTCAGGTCAGCAAGGGTGCTAAGTAAGCCAGGAATGCTGGCCTTCAATTGTTTTATCCATTATACTTTTATAAAAGAGCAATGAGCCAGGGGCAGTGGCTCACGCCTGTAATCCCAGCACTTTGGGAGGCCAAGGTGGGTGGATCACCTGAGGTCAGGAGGTCGAGACAAGCCTGGCCAACATGGCAAAACCCCGTCTCTACTAAAAATACAAAAATTAGCCAGGCATGGTGGTGGGCGCCTGTAATCCCAGCTACTCAGGAGGCTGAGGCAGGAGAATCGCCTGAACCCGGTAGGTGGAGGTTGCAGTGAGCCGAGATCATGCCACTACACTCCAGCCTGGGTGACAGAGCAAGACTCTGCGTCAAAAATAAATAAGCAACAACCTCCCCCACCCAGATGTGTAAACTGAGGCCAGCAGCAAGGCAAGGCATGCCCCAAGTCATGGGACAGGGTTTGAGGCTGGCTCCCTCCAGAGCCCCAGGGCCCCAAGGACAAATCTTCCCTGCTGGGCCTCCAGCCCCCTCGGCAGGGCCTGGCTGTGGTGGAGCAGGCTGGGGAATGCTCATGCTGCTGCTGCCACTGCACCACTGAGCTGCACGAGGACTGGGAGCAGAAACGGGGTGTCTGCTGCTGGCCTGATGCTGGATCCACCCTCCCCAGAAGGCTGCAGGCGCTGAGCCCACCCCACTCCACCCCACCCAGACCCAGTGCCCATGGCTCCAGCTGGACCTCTATGGGCTGCTCCCTGCTGGAGCCTGCTGCCAGAGGGGGCGCTGGACCGTGGCAGCAGCAGCATGAGCATTCCCCAGCCTGCTCCACCACAGCCAGGCCCTGTCGAGGGGGCTGGAGGCCCAGCAGGGAAGATTTGTCCTTGGGGCCCTGGGGCTCTGGAGGGAGCCAGCCTCAAACCCTGTCCCATGACTTGGGGCATGCCTTGCCTTGCTGCTGGCCTCAGTTTACACATCTGGGTGGGGGAGGTTGTTGCTTATTTATTTTTGACGCAGAGTCTTGCTCTGTCACCCAGGCTGGAGTGTAGTGGCATGATCTCGGCTCACTGCAACCTCCACCTACCGGGTTCAGGCGATTCTCCTGAACAATGTGTCTGCAAGAGGGCACGGGCAGGAGGGGAGATCTGGGAAGGCTTCCTGGAAGAATTCGGCTGATCTGATGCCTGAGGGATGAGCAGGAGGTAGCCAGGCCGGCTGGGAGGACAGAAGCACATTCTGAGACAGGGAACAGTGCAGGAAGGACACAGAGTGTCCAAGGGATCCAAACAGGTTTCTGAGACAGGAGGCTGGGAGTGGTAGGGACTGGGTTCAAGTCAGCCAGAGACCAAGGTGCCCGTTTCCTCCTCGAGAGCATGCACCCTGCACACCCTGGGCCAGGCCCTCAGCACCCACAGCCCAAGGGAAACTGACATCCTGCCTGCACTTGGCCGTGCCCATGCAGGCTGGCCACAGCAGAGGGAGCCCACTGGAGCTCTGGCAGCAAGGACTCGAAAGAGAGCCGCTGCCAGGAGTCGGCACCAGCCGCAGACTCTTCACCTGCACTCAGGCTGTGTGGGCTCCCTTGGGGCCACAACCAGGTCAGAGGCAGAAATGGGAGTGGGGTCTGGTGGTGGCTGGCATGCAGGCAGCAGGGGCCCCGGGCAGGGGACAGCCCTGCAGGAAGGGGACTGGGCAGTGGGAAAGCAGAGACCAGCAAAATGGAACGCCTGTTACACCCTGCGGGGGTGGGCGAGGGTGGTCCTGTGGCTGTCAGCAAAGCAGAGGGCTGCTATTCTGGGAAATGAGGTTTCTTTCACCAAACACCCTGCTCGGGTCAGCTGGGGTCCTACTGAAGCCCAGGGAAGGCTAGGAGGGGCACACATGCAGGAGGCCTCTCGGGGCAGCAGGCAGCAAACCTACACCCTCTGGCTCTTCCACCCAACCCCAGAGTCCCTGGCTGCCTCAGTGCCCCGCTGCTCCCAGGTGTGGCCCTCCGTCGAGCCTCTCCTGGATTCCATCCCAAGACCCAGAACCCAAGTTAGAGTCCAGGGCACAGGACAGAGACCCAGCCAGTCTTGGGAAGGAGGCAGAGGGAGAGGCAGGAAAAACACTGCCACAGAGACCAGGCAAGAGGCGACTGAGCTGGAGGCAGAGGAGAAGACAGAGAGAGATAGAAACAGACCCACAGATGACACCTGGCCTGGAGAGAGGGAGACAGAGGCAGATGATAGAGCTGTCACCCTGAGCCATGGGGGCGGGGCAGGCAGTCAGGGAGCAAGTGGCCAAGGGCTGCTTTGCCCTGCCCAGCGCCAGGGTCCACCGCCAGCCGGGGCACCGCACATCGAGGGCGCCCACCACCCCCAGCGCCCAGGATCCCAGATCTTGCCGGGCACAGCCCCAGGGGCACAAGCCCGTGGAAGCATGACGTCCCACTGCCAGGCTGACCGCGCCAACCCACGCCCTCCCCTTCCCCAGGGAGCTCAACTCAAAACTCCCCAAATCCCCCCCATGCTCCTCCCCCTCCCACCCACCCCGCACCTGGTCGTCAGGGCGCGCTCGCGCTGGGGGCCCGCACGGCTGGGGTGAGGCTGGGGAGGGGGTGACCCTGCCCCACACTCACTCACACTCACCTCCCGCACGGCTGCTGGCGCCGGGACCTCCGCGCTCCGCTGGCTCCGCCCGCGCCCGGCTCACCCTCCTCCCCGCGCTCCCCGCCCACACTCTCTCTCTCAGCCTCCCTCGCACTCACGCCCTCCGTGGGGGCCGCCGCTGCCCTTGCTCCGCCCTCCCAGAGCCAGCCCCCAGGTAGAGCCCCGGCCTCGTCTTCCCTTGAGCGGACCCCTCCCCCAGGACCTGCCCCTGGCCACTTGAGACTGAGCCTCAAGATTTGCGTCCAGGAATCTGGGGTGCAGAATTTACTGGGGCCAGACACATAGAAAGAGGACTCCTTCCTACTGGGGACTAGAAGAGAGGAATAAAATGGCCAAAAAAGCCCCCCCACTCAGATGGGTCACAGGAAAGGGGGGGTCACCCCATAACCCTCCTCTCATCTTCACTTCCAGTTCCATTCCCAAAAAGGTGCAAAAGAGCCCTGGGACAAGCTGTCTCACTCAGTCCAGTGGCAGACCTGACACCTGAGACCAAGGTGCACAATCTATAGTCGGTGTAATTCCCAGCCTACAACCAGGAACCCTCCACCATCACTAATCTGTCATCCCACTTCTGTTGCATAACCACAGGCCAGCCACTGTCCAGCCACCATTCACAGCTGTTCATCTATCTTTGCCATCCCACCACCATCTGAGACCCACCATCGGCATCCATCATCTACCATCAGTAACCCAACATCCATCCCGCCCACAATCCACCATCTGCCATCAATAACCCAATATCAACCTCATCCACAATTCACCATCTACCATTGATAATAACCCAACATCCATTCCATCTACAATCCACCATCTACCATCAATAGCCCAACATCCATCCTGCCCACAATCCACCATCTACCTTCCCCCATGCAACCACCAGTCATCCATTCACCATCCACCATTCAACCACTGTCCAGAATCCAATGTCCATTAACCATCCATCCCCAGGCATCATCCCCTATCCAACCACCATGCACTCATCCGTTCACCACCAGCACCCATCACTTACCAAGCATCAATACATCACTACATATCCATCAGTCCAACAGTCATTCAGCATCCATCCATCTACCACCTATCCATCCACCACTCACTATGAAACAGCTTTCCATCAAAAATTTAACACATCTATTTACCATTTACATCTCCATCCACGTATCTAATTGTGAATCATCAATCTACTATTTACTATTCATTTATTCCAATTTATCCATTAACCTCCATCCAATCTACTACAATTCACCCATCTACAATTCAACCACCAGTTGCTCACCATTTGCCATTCATTCATTCATATTTCTATGAGCTGAATTCCTCCATTCATCCACCAACCATCTATCATCATCATCTCTTTTTGTTTGTTTCTCTTTTTTGTTTTTGTTTTGGGACCGAGTCTCACTCACTCACGCAGGCTGGAGTGCAATGGTGCGATATCGGCTCACTGCAACTTCCGCCTCTAGGTTCAAGCAATTTTCCTACCTCAGCCTCCCAAGTAACTGAGATTATAGGTGCCCATCACCACGCCTAGCTAATTTTTGTATTTTTAGTAGAGATGGGGTTTCACCATGTTGGTCACCCTGCTCTTGAACACCTGACCTCAGGTGATCCACCTGCACTGGCATCCAAAGGTGCTGGGATTGCAGGCATGAGCCACCGCACCTAGCCTACCATCACCACCTCTTATCCACATCCACCACATATCTACTCATTCATTGTCCATCTCACAACGTCCTCTATCTATCCACCCATCATCCAGCCATAATTCACTATTCATCCAAAATCCATCCAAGTACCATCTAGCATCCATTCATAGAAAAATTTATTGACCACCTTCTGTGTGCCAAACATTGTTCTAGGAGCTGAAGACAGAGTAGAGAGACAGCAGTGAGCATTTATTTACCATTATCCATCCGCCATGACATTCCACCCACCATCTGTCCACTCTCTATTCATGCACCACCCACATTCACTATTTACTCTCCATTCGACATCCATCTTCATTCATCATCCATTCACTATCCACTTGCTATCTATCCATCTTCCTCCATCTGTATATTAAACCATCCATTTACCATCTCTCCATCTACACACCCACTGTTCACCTTTCATGCATCAGTTTTCCAAGTTGTAGCCATCTACTGTTAACCTTCATCCATTCATTCAACACCGATTCATCATTCATCCATTGAGATTCCATCCAGCTGTTGTCTATCCACAGCCACCTTCCATCAATACCTCCACAGTACACAGCCCATTATTCATCCAGCTGGCAGTTATTCATTTATTTGGCATCCAGTCCCCATTCATGCACCAGAGAGCCACCATTTACTTGTCCACCACTTGTGATCCATTCATCAGTCATATACTCCTTGGCATTTCTATTCCATCTGCCCATCCGTTCTCTGTGCATAGATCCATCACAATCATCCACTTCTATTTATCCACCATCCAG